GCCTAAGCATCGCCCTTGGTTAAGTGCTATTTTTACACCCCCCCAGCATTGCGCTGAGGAATTATTCATTTTGACATTTCAATTGCAGGTAAACTGTAGCTCTGAATAAAGTGGCATTTAAACTGAAAGTGGCAGGTCAATTAGATCATCTATCAAAGCCTGTTAATGTTTTGTTGTTTGGTTTTTGCGTTCAATATTGTTTGTTGCAGTCGCTGAAGTTGTTTTCTCTTTGGCAAAACCCCATATGCAAAACAAGAGCAAAGGTCATGAGAAATCACAGGGTTTTGAAGCATACCTGATGTTAAGTGACTCTTTCCTCTCGTTGGTGATTTATTCTTTCATCAAAGCAGAATGTCAAGCCATTTGTCTCTTCTTTGTCATTTGGTTGCAAGTGGTTGATTGAAGAGGGCGAAGAATTGCTAGAAGCAGCAAACTGGTGTGAAAATCATAAACCGTCATAAATAATAGTGACAGTTATTTACAATATTCAAGCTGAATTCTTCTCATTAGTGTTGCATGTTGGTTGTCTGAGAATTTTTGAAAATGCTTCAGTGAAGGAACTTTTGCTCTGAAAGGAATGTAAGGACTGAGGAATCTATCTTATCCCCCATGGAGAGGAGATGATTTGGGGGCAGAAGTAACTGAGTCACTGGTGCCTGCAGCTGCGGCAACAAGCAGCTGCAGAGCTTCTAATTGAACAGAGGGATGACGACCTACTTCCGAAAACTGTTATGATTAAAGGGATGCGTCAGATGTATTAAGAGCATAGCAGCTTATTTGAATTGGACTACCATAAATAGCCGCTGGGCTTTGTTTTGTTTCCATGCAACCCCCATCTCTTAGGGAATATATATACATTTTTTTTCCGGAGATAAAGTATCTCAGAAAAGCATCCATGCCCCCAGGTGTTTTTTGAAATACTAAAGCCTTGAATTATAAAAAATATTATTAAAGGTTTTGTATCATCTGATCGACCTGTCTAATATTAAAATGCAGCCTTGGTGTATATCTTTTTAACCAAATATTGTCTTTACCTATAACTTTTTCGTTGCAAACTTTTTTTTCATGCAGCTTGGAAATAATTTCTCCATGTCTTTTGGTTTCCGCTTCAGTAAACTTCGTTTTTTTTAAATTAAATATTCCCAGTTCTATTTGAGTTTCCTTTAAGGCATTCAAGCATTTTAATTAGGGTAAAAGATAACAGAAACAATTGTGAAGAGACAAACAGGCTGATTCCTTCTGCTCAGACGACTCTGATTTATGTATCAGAAGTTGCGAATTTTTACAGTAAACATACAGAAATGATCAGTGTTCACTGGAGGGTATATTGTTAATAACTGCATATATGCTAAAGTGTAAAAGTTATACACTCATAACATTACTAGCAGGCCAAGACCGTCATCAAATTCCAATTTCACTGTGGTTTGGTATCCCGGAGCATTTTGTAAATCTCCTGTGTTAATAATAATGTAAATAATAATTATTTGACCAGAGATTTTTTTTATTTAGGATTTTTCTTAAATGAGCGATAAACCACTAAGAGTCTTACAAATTACATTTTAAATTCTGAGTTGGTACATTTTTACCACAAGAGGTGAAACTTGTATTTTAAATGAGTCCAAACTGTATTTTTTGCTCAAAATGTGTTCATGTCCTACTGTTGTTTTGTGGGTCATAAAATGGAAAAAAAATCATAGCATCTGAATGTTTTCCGTGTTTCCACATTGTGACTTGTATCCTTTACCCCTTGCCTCTGTAACCCCTCAGCTGGGATTTTTGATCAGATGTTTTTACAAAAGCTCTGACATCTTAATAGTGCCACTCGTTTTGTACAGTTGCAAACCATTTGGTCATTCACTGAGATATGTATCCATCAGTGTCTAAATGGTTAATAAATGGTTTGCAGTTATTATCTTATTCCGTTACTTTAAAAGTCTTGAAAACAGCTAGAATTTCCCTACTTTTATGTTTCACAGTTTCTGCAGATATTCATTAAATGCTTGTTACCTTCAGTCCTTTTCTGTTATATATGCACTATTCTTTAAATATTTATTACAGTAAAATATTTAGATAGTATGTAGGGCTTGAATTTTATACCAAAAACAAGTGTTTGGGAAAAAGAAAACATAATGTAATGAAGAGGTCTTTAATACTGGGACTATTTATATAAATAACTTTATATGGACCTTTGCACTTTATTAAATAGAAGCAGGTTGGTTAGCACTATGACTTTTTATTTAGCACTGCAATTTAAGCATAGATTTGTACATAAAGAATAATTTGCAAACGTTGACTTTAAATTTTTTATTAAATATTTATTGAGTATTTTAATAGTTGGTGTGTTGCCTTTTGTTCAAGGATCTGCAGAGCTGCTGTCCATTAATAATTGGGGTAGTTGTCCGTGTAAGAGAGAATTGTTGTTTAGGGCAAGCAAGGGTTACTGTTTAGAAACTTTACCTAATGCTAGTGTGTAATCTGTTGGAAGTGAGTGCAGAGAAGAAGTGTTGTGGTGCAAGGAAAGTGACTTATCTATATTTTCCATGGTCTCTCCCAGATCATATAAATGGGGTCTGGACCCCAGGGGAAGCATTTGTCCAAACACCCTGGAGAGGACATGGTTCAGTCCTTCATCAGCTGTCCCTATTTAAGCCAGAGATTGCGTTTGATACGAGGCTTGATAATGTGAAACTGAATAAACCTGCTGATAGTTTTACTTCACTTTGTCTGATAGTATAATTTTCTCACTGGAAATCCATCCGAAAGGTCGCCTGGTATTGATCACCATTTGGTTTAGCTCTGTTTTTTCTCTACTTCCTCTTCACAACGAAATTAATGAGTACGTAAAATCTATTAAGATTATATGACTTTATGCTGTTATTTGGACCATTTTTAATTATATATGATTAGATCAAAGTGCCTTTCCTCAATGGAAACTGCTAGTGGGATAAGGTTGTTTTGCACTACAAGGTACACCCACTACCTGTGGTTTTAAATTGCTCTTTTCTTATTTTTTTTTTTATTTACCCTTTATTTAACCAGGTAATAACCATTGAGATTAAAAATCTCTTTTGCAAGGGAGACCTGGCCAAGATAGGCATCAAAATTACATCACATCATTACATACGTACAAAGACACACACAAAAAAGCCAAATATGTACTTACAATAAAATTTCAATTAAAACATTGACATGTGAAGGAGTCCAACTCAAAATATCTCATTCTCAGCTTAAAAGTATTCAAAGGAACCAATTTACTAAGTTTCAAGTTATTTTGCAGCAAATTCCATGTAAAGGGAGCAGAGTAAGCAAAGGCCTTTTTACCCAGCTCAGTACTGACACGTGGGACAGAAAACAAGACAACAGCCTGAGAACGGAGAGAGTAATGACCAGTACTTTTTTTCATAAGAAGTGAACATAAATAAGATGGAAATGCACCAAGAATAGCCTTATATATAAATATATACCAATGACAAAGCCTCCGTGTAGCCAAGGCAGATCTTAAAAGTGTTCCAAAATATTATTCAACAACAACAGACTCAAAATGTTTCTCTAACCTTTGTGGCTTTCAAGTCTGATCTTTTCTAATTACTAGCCTGTAAATGAACTTACATAACAATAGATTTTTCAATACTCCATATAATACAACCGGATTTCCACACATAGGTGTTTTGCACTACCACGTGCTTAGCTTCATTTATTGGTATAAACTGTCAGAAGAATAAACAGTTTATTACAGCTGCTTTCATTATGTTTATACACTTATCAGCTATACCTGAGCAATTACTAATACTTAAAGGTCACTATGGGTCAGACACCTCATTATTTGGACTTTATTGGGTGTTCTAGTTGAAAGTGATTACACTGTCGCTACAGAAGGTTGCTGTGTTTTTCATTTATGATTGTCTGCACATGCTGATGAATAGCTCCTCAACCTTTCAAACTCCTTTTCTAATCCACATCTTTTATTGAAATGTTAAAACAGAAAAAGCATTTTCTATAATATGTTGGTTGTATCATGTTCTGCTCCTTTTCAGATAGTGAATCAGTCACTACTTAAGAAAACCTCCTGTTGTGTCTCATTTATAAAAACAGTTATTTCTTTTTTTTATGAAAGACACCAATAAACAGCAACTAATTCTGGATCAAAAACATAGTTTGATTGATTGATTGATTGATTGATTGATTGATTGATTGATTGATTGATTGATTGATTGATTGATTGATTGATTGATTGATTGATTGATTGATTGATAACACACATTGGATAAATTTACTTGTTACATCGGCTCAATAGTCAAAAAGAAGGTGCAAAAAGGAGGAAAAGGTGTATTGGGTATATAAAGTATATACAGGGTTTCACACAGACACCTGGGAGCTTGAGGGTTCTAATCAGTATATTTGCTACTCCCACAAATGCACTTTGCTGGACCTAAATGTCTGATGTATTTCCAGGTGGTATACACATATATATATATATATATATATATATATATATATATATATATATATATATATATATATATATATATATATATACACACACATATACACATAAGAAGTGAGGTCTCTTATTTGACAGGATTATTACACAGGGTATTAAATGGGTATTTATATAAATAGCTATTTATGTATAGTAATTGCACTGGGTATTAAATATGAACAGGTTCTTGCACAGGGTATTAAATAGTGATTGCACATTAGTTATTGCTCAAGTTATTGCAGTTATTGTGTAGCATTGTCGAGTCTGCTTGCAGCAGGGATGAATGACCTGCGGTAGCACTCCTTTTTACAAATAGGGTGTAAGAGTTTCACTAAATGAGCTGCTTAACTCCTCTACAGTCTGGTGCAGGGGCTGGAATGTGTAGTCCATGATGGATGTAATCTTGGAAAATAGGTTTGCTTAAAAACAAAATATGTTCTCAATTGTCTTTTAATCTAATTGCATCATAAACTGTACGTGCTTTGATATCTCAATTTTCTGATTATGTTCACTTATCTAGATGGATCTCCGAAGATTGGGAGCATTGTACCAAAACCTGCGGCTCCCTGGGTTTTCAGATCCGGACAGTTCGCTGCGTACAGTCCCTCCACGATGGCACCAACCGCTCCATCCACAGCAAATACTGCACTGGGGAGAAGCCAGAGAACCGAAGACCTTGTAATCGAGTCCCGTGTCCTGCCCAGTGGAGGACTGGAAGCTGGTCGCAGGTACTCCATAAGCTCTTTGACCAGAGAATGTTACTGCTTAAAGAAAGCCCAGCCCTTGGTCTCAGCTAACATCAGTGGTAAAATATAAATGATTTATGATGTAGTTCAACATTGGTCGTAGCATCAATTATACAGCAGGGCTATTGAACTCAACATGATCAGCTACTAAAGTGAATTATAAAGCTTGTGTAATATTTAATTTGATGTTTTCAGATCTCCTTTTCAAAATAACTTGTTTCCATTCCACAAAGTGAGTCCTGAAAAAGATTGAAAAAGATTTAAAGATTTAAAAACTCAATAATCTAATAATTTTGGCATCCCTGGTGAAGATTCACAGAAAGCCTTAGAAAAGAAGTATGTATTTGAAAAAAAAGAAATGAGTCCAAGTCTAGTCTAGTCAAGTATTATTTCTATTATTTTAACCATCACAGATAAAAATCATAAAGTTCTTCTGGAGGGTAGAGCAGTAAGTTTAAAGAACTTCAAAAACTGATAGGCTAATACAGTTTATAAAAAAAGCAAAATATTCACTAACTCTCCATAATTACGTAGTAGACAACTTATCTATTATGAGGAACTTCTAAGTTTAATTTTGAGTGCAGAAAAAAATTTCAAAAAATTGACAATGATGCAATGGTGAAGAAAGTCTCAGAGCACCACATTAGATAGAGTTTGTCTTTCGTCTTATTAAACTTATTACTGTATAGTAAGGGGCTGGAGAACTGACATGTGTCATCTTCATCTAAATCTTAACTCTTTCCTTGAAAGCCATTCTGTGCTAAACTGCCTCAATAATAATTGGTGTTATTCCTCCGTTTTTTCGGTTTGGACATGCATTTGAAAGATACCAAATACTGAAAAAGGCTTGAAATAAATGCAGACGGCGTACAGAAGGGTTTCTCTTGGAGTCTGCGGATTTTTAGTTTGGTATTAAAATAATGCTGTGTAACTTTTAGCCCTTGGGAACTTCCAGGTTTAGTCCCTCTGAACGCTGTTGTTGATACTGCTGGTCTGTAAAATTTAGCAGATAGTCATGGAGTTACTTGTAAAGACAAAGCCTCATTCCCCCCTATAGATTTAAAACCTCCATCAGAGCACTGAAAATCAAAGCTAATCTATTTGTTTTGTTGCCAAACAACAACTTTAAGGATCGATAGATGTTTAATGGAAGCTCGGTTTGCCGTAAAGCTGTGCTCTGCGTCCTTAGACCTTTTCAGTAATAGATCCAACCATCTCAAGTTACATAAGTGAGTTTTTGAAAAGGGCAGCCCACATGGAGCATACATACACACGTATGGAATACTGACCTGAAAAATAATTTAATAGATCTAAAACTGGGCTAATGCTTGGGCTTAAGAATGCTTTCTGAGAAAAATTTAGGTGCTACAGTTAGCGAAGGGCTGGCTGATATTCCTATCTTAGTTTCTTGTGGTATATTCTGACACTATCTTCTAACAGTTGCGTTTACTTGATACAAGAAAGAACATAAACAAAACTACAGAAGTAATCAATGTAAAGACCTTACCTGGATATATAATTTAGACTGGATTAAAAAATGTCACAACAAGGAAATTTGGCAAAGTTAAATTGTCCAATAACATCCATATTTCTGAACAAAAAATTAATAATCTCAGGGTTATTTGCATTTGAGAATGTGTTTATTAAACAGACTATTCATTTATTCTTCGTTTAAGTGCACTACACTGTAGACAATATCATGTTTTTACCTTTGTGTGTACTGTAATACAACCATAATATGGAAGAGCAAAGGTAGAGGAAAACAAACTGGAGAGAGTAGCAGCACCCATATTCACACAGCTCTGAGAGGAGGATATAGGGTGGGGAAAGGAAAATTGATCAAGGTGAAGAGGTGGACTTTGAAGTACAGTAATTGCGAGCAGATAGATGTAATTTTCCTCTGTACTTCTATTGCTCTGCATTTCATTACTTTCTAATTTTATGCTATTGATCATTCAATATTTTTCATATTCATTTATCCTCTTGAAAACTGAATCACAAAAGGCACACTGTTAACAATTTAACCACTAAAACAATTTATTTCACCATATGGGGGTATCTATATTATTCATTGCTGTATGAAGTTTGAGTGCTAATTTGCTTCACCATCAATAACAGTGAATTTTAGATTCCAAGTTTTATTTGTTTTATAACAAAACTTAAAAGTAAAGATGACGATCTTTTTTCCGGCTGGATCATCTTAATAAGTGGTCCTCCTAATTTCCACTCATTCTGGTGATATGTTTATGTAAGGCCATCCTACGTACTCGTCCAGTTAGCTATCTTTTTCTGAGCATGCGCACTTTCAGGTGTATATCTGTGGTGAGCTATGGTTTCAGACAGTCATTGAAGCTCACCTTTCTCACCACGGTTCTTTTTGAAAATGGCCGAGGGTCGTTAGAGAAAAAGTGTCTACAAAGTGTATAAGAAGAAAAGAGAGGCCTCAGAAGAGGCAGATATATCCCAGAATGCTTTGTGACAACAGAGGTGAGAGCTCACCTCTTATTTTTATTTATTTATTTATTCATATCTCACCATGGAGGGTATCTGGTCAGCTACAAAAACTACACTTTCCTCCAGTAGCTTAGTGTTCTAACTGGTTGCTGTCGGGATTGAAAATGTTTCCATCACTAAGTGGAGCCTTCATCTGTTACACAGATATGGTATATGTATTGTTTAGCAAGGTTTGGACTGATTTTTTCCTGGTGAGTATCCCTAATATAGCGGACAATGGTCTCATATTCCTCATGCACCCCCTGATGCCACACAGAATTTCTGGTGGATTATATATTATGGTAATCATGACACTTACATCTCTATGGCTCACAGTTGGTCTATCTGGACCTTGAAAGCATATTATTTGGTTTTATAGAGACAAAATATCATGTCATGTAAGGATAGTACTGGAAATATATGGAAATTGTTGGTGGGGTAGGCAGTCAGTCAGATTGAATTAGGTTATCAATGGGATAACGAGGTTCAGCTCTGTGGTCCTTCTTGTTTACATTGTGATGTAAAACTTGAGAGGATCAGATCTCAGGATCAGCTTATGGTTGACAGCATGCAGATAACGTCCAAGAGGCAAGGCTGAGGTGGGTTGGACATGTTATGTGAACAATTGGTGGATACTATGGATAAACGATGTTGGAGATAGAGCTGCTAGGCAGAAGGAAAAGAGGACGACTGCGCGGGAGATTAATGTACTTTTTGGAAGAGGACATGCAGATGGTTGGTGTAACAGTTGAAGAGGTGATCTATTAAGGCAGTGCCTGAGCAAAGCAACCAAAAGGAGAGCAAGGGCAAGACATGTTTGGAAGCTTTGATTGCGCATTCTAATTTGTTCCACTGGATTGTGCTTCACAGTAGACTTACTGAGAAGTAATCAAACAAAATTAATTTTGCAATGTTGTCTTCTTTTTTTTCTCGTGATTTAATTGCAAAAGATTGCAGCATAAAGGCAGAACATTACGGAAATAAATATGTTTTTCCTAAATGGATATGAAAGAGACCCTACTTACTTGGTGTTTTGTTTTTTTCTTACCCTTGATGTTTTCAATGGCAGCATTTAGATTACTGCACCCTGCGTTTGATCCAGGAGGACACAGATTTCAGACATTAGCTCATATTTCCATCAACGCCAGCTGTTGATATGAGTGTAACAGGCAGCCAGCAACAAACTGAAATGAACATCCAGCAATTTAACGACACGCTGCTTTTACTAAATTCAGCTGCTAATATGATCAGTGTGTGGGTGACATGATTTACACATATAAATTGTGTCATATTTATGTATTGAAATTAGTGATAAAATAATTTTATGACTGATGCTCAGAAACAGCTTATAACATAAATCTACCTTATTGTAACCGCAGGACTAAATCTTTTAAGTTCTTTATCATTTATTAGATGCCTCAAAATAAACAAAACTTTACATACTATTAAATATAGCATTACATTCATTTTTGAATGTTCTAAGTAATTACGTAGTAATTGCCATTGTTTCTAAAAGAAGCCCCCATCTTCACAGCAGTTTCCTAACTAAGTTCATAAAATCAATATAGTCAATGGGAACTTGCATCATAAAGTAAATCTGTTGAAGGGAAAATCAAAAGTCCACAGCTTCCTGTTACGCAGCAGATAAAATGTGATTCAATTCCCTACAGATTTCACGGTGCAGTCTCACATAAATCCGGTTTAACAAAGGAGGATGGAGTTAAAAAAACAATGTTGTGGGGCATTTAGCTTTCAGGTGGATATCGAACTTGAAGTCAGCTTGTTATCCTGGCCAATTACCAAGACATTGGCTGCCACTTGTATGACCTTCCTCCACTAATCTCTGCTCTGTTGTTGATGGGATTCACCGTTTCTCTTCCTTTCCAAGTGCTCTGTGACATGCGGTGAGGGTATGGAAAGGCGTCTGGTAACCTGCCGGATCGGAGATCAATGCTATGGGGATAAACCCGAGGCAGTGAGGCCATGCAAAGCTGGACCATGCAATGGTAAGTATGCGTGTTTAGTAGGTTATTTTTAAAAATGTAACGGAAATAGATAACTCTTTCAATTTTTATCGAAAGAAAAGTTATTAAAGTCACTAATATCTTTGGAATATATTTGGATCAGTCACAGCAACTGCATCTATAAAGGCTAAGAGGGCAGGGGCAAATAAATTAAAGGCAGGATGAATGGTGCGTTACCTTAAAGTTCCAACATCATAAATTAAGATGGTGTGTCAAAGAGAGGAAGGTATTATCAATTGGTTCATTTCGAAGAGCTGTTTAAAATAGTGCTTCATGTTTGTATTTAGTTGTTTTTAAGAAGCTGACATGGGGTAACTATTTTTTAACTGAAAAAAATTCAATGGGATGATGCAAATCATCCATCTGTTGTTGACCTCAAGATTCTGTGCTGACCAGTCATTTTTCAGTGTGCTTTGGATCTTTGCATTGTGCAAAGGTCTTTTAATAATAGATCAGAATCCTATTTGATGGCACTACTGTCTCATTCTACAGAAAAGTAATTGTTTAACTTTTGGCAACTTTAACTTTTCTTTTATAAAGCTAGGTTTTTAATGTGTAAACAGTTACGCACCTGAAATCATCTTGAAATGTTTAATACAAAACCCATGGATCTAGGACTTGAGTGGTCAGTCGAAATTGTTTGGTTGGAAAATGCAGAGCAAGTGTTGGTCAAACATGCTTTTCAGGTTAATGTACAGGTGTGTGTACCTTTCACGTGTTTGTGTTAGTATGTTTGTGCATCATATGCCTGTGGGTTCAAGCTGTCATACCTTTTACTCTGATATTGTATCTAAAAGTTTACGTTCTACTTTAGTGGTTGTGATATTTAAAATCCCCATGCTTTTAAGTCTTACTTAACCCCTGAAGCCCACCCAGGGACAGGGTTGCAAATTAGAGATTGCTGAAAAACCTGTACATTACAGATGCAACCGTTACATTTTAAGAGGCAATGCTGGTATTAAAGGAACAAGTAAAATAGGTAAATGCTCCTGATAAAAATTCAAAAACCGTAATACCCTTTACACAGATCTTTTCATTACGTGAAAAAACAGACACAAAACCCTGACTTATGCACGGGATTTCCAGAGAGCAATGAACTAATCATCACTCTAGAGCAATGTTTTTCAATCCTGGTCCTCGAGGCACCCTGCCCTGCATGTTTTAGATGTTTCCCAGCTTTCACACACCTGTTATCAATTGATAGCAGATTATCAGGCTTTGCTGAACTGCAATCATCTGAATCAGGTTTGCTGAACCTCAGAAACATCAACATGCAGGGTAGGGTGCCTTGAGGACCAGGATTGAAAAACACTGCTCTAGAGAACATATCTCTACCTTTCCTGTGTCAAGTTGTGGCATGCTTCACACCTCTGCAGTTGATTTTTTGCATTGGATTAGTGATGTAAGGCTTAAATTCAACTTGATTAAGTTGTCTGTGCAAAGATTTTAAGAAAACCAAAATGCTTCATAGAGTTTAGAGGTCTGTGGTGGTTGAATCTCCAGAGAGTTACCAACTCATCACCACTAAGCATCTCAGCATCTGCTGAGCCCTCTATAGTTTTTCACACTCTATTACTTAGTGGTTGAATTATTGTCATTGTGAATCAAATCTCCTTTATTATGACAACACTAACATTTTACTGTGAAGTATTTTGTTATGAGAAAATGTCTTCATTTTGATTTTATAAAATGTATAATCCACTGACATTACCACACTTGAATTCACTGGGCTCTTCAGACCAACGAATGATTTCCATAAATATTGACATGCCCAGGTGATGGTATTTGTGTGCATGGATATAATTTTGTACCACAGATTACTCTTTATCGCCATTGTCACAATTACAACCACATTGAATATTCTATAATCTTATTATAAAATCATCTTAATTTTGTATTTCTATTTTTTAGTCTGTACTATGTTAATTAAAATAAGAAATAAGAGATTTGATATATTAATTCATAATAGTCTTCTGTAATGCATTACCACATTAGTGGTACATGAAGGATTTATAGCCAAAAGACCTTCTCACATTTTACTTCTGTAGGTCTGAAAAGCTCTGTTATCATGATAGCTGTTTTCCGTCAGCTTTAAATGCTTCCTAAGAGGTTTCAAACATCATTTATATTTTAAAGTTACAAAAGAGTAATGAGTGGCGCATGGACCTGAGCCAATACAGGACTTTCCTGGAATTAATTTGTATTGATTTAATAGGAATCATGTTACAGTCCTTTTCCCAGTAGAGGTCTGTTTTTTTTTTCTGAATGTGCAGCTAATTATATACGACCAAAACCCACTGAACAAAAGCAGCACCTTTATGCTTTACTGTAAAGTGCTTTTCCTGCTACAGTCCTATTACTGAATAATCGTTGTATTCCCTCTGTTTGACTTTCAGATGAGCCATGTAGTGGAGACAAATCAATCTTCTGCCAAATGGAGGTTTTAGCAAGATACTGTTCTATCCCAGGCTACAACAAACTGTGCTGCGAGTCATGCAGTAAACGCACTGGAAGTTTGTCTCCGTTCTCTGAGGCAACTGGGACAGAGGGACATGTCCGCTTCGGATCAGCATCTCAGTTACTGGAGACATTGATGGCCAACGCTACTCGTAGTGGCAAGCAAAGCTCAGGAAAAGGAGCTGCAAAACACATCACAACCCCAGCTCCACAAACTAAAGTCAAACCAAATATCTCAACTGCACCACGGCGAGTTCCACGAGATTTAAATATTACTCCATCTTTTCTGAAAAACCAAGAGAGTCAAAGATCTGTCCGCCTGATCGGGAGTAGATGGCCTACATCATATTCTAAAGTTGAGAGATGAAAATAAAGCGGGTTTCCTTTAGGACTCCTCATACCCATCCTCATTCCGAGTATTCACACACCAAATATACCACAGATTGAGAAACAGATAGTAGGAAAGTGAAAAAAGTGCTGGTTCACTTTGATTTTATTGATACCAACTCCCCTTTTTATCCCTGAAATAGACTTTAAATAGTGCGCTCACATGTCGTAGGTAGCTTCCATAGTCTCTGAACTAAGAAAAGTGGAAATAAAGGTTGATATGACCCTAAGGGAATATTGTTTTAATTAAATTACAAAGCTAAATAGTTTATGCAAAATAGCCAAAAGATGTTCCCCTTTGTAAGTCTGACTCCAACTTAATATTTTTTTCATAACGATTGCTGCTGTATTTATAAAAATCAGTCTTGAATTTTTGAATGAGGTACTGAGGTTTTCTTTGTGGTCCCTTTAAGCAATAAAATGCCTGACATGTTTATGGAAGGCCCTTAATTTCTGATTGGTTTATTTTATGTCTGTACCATAAGGAGTAAGACCTTTTGCCTGAGAAATCAAGTTCATGCAATAAAAGCTTTATTCTTGTTGACAACATCATTTGTTGGACGAGAACTGTAAGAAAAACTTGTGGTGAACTTGAATCAGCACTTTGCCATCCTTCAGTGTGTCTGGCTCCCCTCAAAACATTTTAGTGCTCAAACAATTAAAACAACCATTGATAAAAATCAAGCATTGATTCTTAAGTTTTGAATTTTCTTTTTTTTTTTTGTCCTAAATAAGAGCACCAACAAAAGCATTTGGTTTTCATTCTTTGCTGGGTGGTTTTGTCTGGTGGATGTTTGTGCCATGCTGTTGCTGCGGCAACAAATCATAGTCTGGTATCTTTTGTTTAAGCAAACTGTTTTGAGATGGCAAAGTGTTTGCTTAAAGGTTTACAGTAGCTCCTCCATTGGATGCTTAATAGATGGAGAACAACTGCAGCAGTCTTAGCTAATTATATCTGCTCAAGGTGCATCTGTAAGGCTGGAAAATAGATCATATTTGAAGTGTTAATTTTGCTGCAGTTTTTTTCTTTTTTCTCAACTTGATGTCTTCCTTACTAAGGTTATTTTTTAAAGTAGGGCTTTTTCATGAGCTGCCATTCTTCTTACCAAAGAGAGAAAAAAAAAAATTTATAAATTTATCTGGCCTGTTTTTTCTTAACATGGCTTAGAATTTCTTAAAATAATTTTTATTTTAATTAAATCACCTGAATGTTGTAAAGTTAACAAAATTATTTAGTTTTATTATATTTACATTTGTTTGTTCTCTCCAATCTATGAGAAATGGTGCCCTGTTATTTCCCAGTTAATATTCAAAAATGCTCTGTAAATACCTCAGATGAAAAAGTTGGTATTACAATGTGATATCAAGAACACCTTAAAACATTTATTTTTGCTGTCCTTTCAGGATGCTTGATAATGGTGCAGTTAACATCAGTCAGAATGCTGAAATATATTTTTTTTACTTATTAATCTTTTTCTGTTTGTTTTGGCAAAATATTTGCCTTTCTTCTTTACCCTAACCATAGTTTTTTTTTTTTTTTTTTAGCAGATTCGCAGGACTTACTTTTAAGTCTCTGACTCTAAAAATCCAAGATTACCAAAAATGTTTTTTGTGTGTTTTAATAATAAGGAGCTTCTAATCATATGGAGGTATACAGGTTTGTGCAGACAAGAAATTTGACTTCCAAAGCACTTTCAACTAGTTTCAAAGACTAATGTAAAAAGTCTTGTTTTAAAGAACAAAATTTGAAAAAAAAAAAATAGCAGCAGTCTATAGGATAAAAATATGTTTTCCCAATTTGGGTACTGCTGCTTAACTTAAGAGTCATCCCAGAATTATGCTTTTATGTTGTTTTTTTTGGCCAATTTAAATAGGATAGGGTGCTTTTAAACTTTGCTGCTTTTTAGTTTTATTTGAAAGAACTTAGTCGGGATTCCATTTACTTTTGTACAAGTTTATATTAGCTACCATTTTATTTTTAAACATCTTAAAGCTACAGTGTGTAATTTTCAGCGACATCTAACGTCCAGACTGCAGACCGCAGCAACATGAACATCTCCCCCCCACCGCTTCTCCCCCCCAACAGTACGGCGAGCGTTACGGGACAAAATGTCTTCCACGACGTCCGCATCACCTACCTTCTCAAGTGATGAGGTTTGTTTACATAGATAATTTTACAGATAGTATTTCATTAGTCTGTGTAGGGTAAAGATTTCATGTAGACTTAAGATAATAAATATCGAGCGCAATGGGAGATCTCGCAATCGCTAGTTTGTTGGCTCTGCGCTGCCGTAGCACAAAGATGTCTGCCTCCATGGCTGCAAGACCCGCTTCTATGTAATTATAAATAACGAATTCTAAGGCAACGCAAATATTAAGGTTAAGAGGCTGAGCTCGTAGATGATGATAAATAACATCGTTATGTATAATGTATTACATTTCTGACTGTGTATCCCTATAATTATTACACACTGTAGCTTTAAATCAATCTTCTCAGTCGTTTCTGAAACAACAAAGAACAAACATATCTGCCATTTGCTAAATATTTTCTCTTTTTCTGACCATTATCCACAAATCTAAGAGGTTTGCATGAAAATCACACGGGATTTTCAGTTTACAAAATAGTCAGACCAGGCAATCTAATCTAAGTTTAAACATCTATAAATTTCCCTGTTTGTGTGTAAATACGATGATTTGCTGCCTTTTCTTTTGGTTAATTGGAGTCAAGAAGCTACTGAACAGATATACCCAATAAATTGGCCTGTGAGTGCAAATCTCATTTGTTTTTTTATGTGTGTATATATATATATATATATATATATATATATAATTTCTTGAAGACTTTCTTTCAGATCACAAAGCTTAAAGATCATTTCTAATATAATCAAAAAGGTCTTTATTAAATAAGGAAGAATAACTGCTTTTATGAAACATTTTTGCATATTAAAAAGACATTATCTTTTTAAACTAGACAGTATCTTTATAATAATATTCCTTAGCTTTCCTCTTTTTAATATAAAAAAAAACATCGACACTGTTGTCACTACAGATTAGTGTTTTTCTACTTTTTTCTTGGGTTTAACAAATTTCCAGCTTTTTGAAAAAAACAGGGACATCGTGCTGACAGCTTGGTGGATATGTTAATTAGGATGCGTCGCTTACTGAGTCTAAATAGCCGCTCTACTAACTCAAACAATGCTTTAAAGTCAAAAAGTTGTGTAATCGTCCGTAGGAAAAACCTTAATAGTAAAGCTACATACACTCTGTTTCCTATCTTATGCAGGCACCCAGAAAAATTCCTTTAAAGAAGATTTAGATACTTTGGAATGAAGAGAATTTTATGGAACAAAGTCTGCCACATTTTGAAAGTATGTGTTGCACTTGGTGCTCATCTAAATAGTGCATTGGAATCGAGGGTGTATAACACAGAGCTAATCCTCATGAGGATGGGGTGCCTCACCAAACTGCTTTAATGTTTTCTATATTCAAAGATGAATTAACTGTCTGGTTATGGTTTATATATGATGTCCCACGTGGTAAGATCATTATCCACTGACTTAATCAGAAACTGTCACGTCATCACTTTCAGTTTCAACCATTTGAAATGGTGAATTGATTGAATCTCCATCGTTACATACAACATATGGCACTAGAATAAATCTGAGGCTCAATCCAAATACGTCAAATCGGTAACGACACATAAGTCATAGCAAAAGTGCTTCCACTCTCTGTGCTTTCTGAATAGTGCTGGCAGTTATCAAGGAGCAGGGACCAGGAAGTTAAACTCATTTAGGATAGGGACCTCCGGACTTTCCAAGATGGCGCTAGGAACTATGTGGTTGACCACAATCCTTATGTGACAAACCATATAGTTAACCAAAAGTTCATCATTTTGTTACATGTGCTTTGTGTGAGACAGGCAAATAGTTTTATAATTGAGAACTTTATCTGTTTTCTCATTTGTGTAACTTTGTTTTTTTGTAGTTCTTTTGTAGTCCAGAAGGCTTTAATCCCAATTTGACCAACGTCATCAAGTGCATGTTTGCCTTGTGATGACACCCAAAATGCCAAAAGCTTTCCGGATTCAGCACAGCAGTACAGAGGTTCTTTCCTACTGAGGATAGTGTTTTTGCTGTTGAGCAAATAAAATGAGAGGGGATAGGAGCTAGGGCAACAATTTGAGATGTTTGAGCCATAGTTGTGTTTATTTTGTAGCAGTGTGGTGCACAAATAGTATACATAGTGTTTGAGTGATGTGGCAATCAATAGACTGCTTTTTCAACATATCACATTTCCTTGGTGTCTTAGCATATCAAACTTTTTTTTTTATTCAGTTGGACATCCTAGTGTTAAAAGCTTTGTAATGCAAAGCCAGAGCATCAATACTTCATATCATCTCGCCTTCACGTGAAATTAAAATACTTGGCAGATACTCAATAGCTTGAAAAGATGGTACACATACATTACTGTTAGAACTTTTAAGTATTTTTCTTTTAAACATGCAACGGTGCTCTAGCAGGATACTAAAGGGTTTTTTGATTGTTTTTTTTCATATATTTTTTGATAAAACTCTTAAACTTCCAATGAGGAAACCACGTAACATTGGATTGCTGCTTTAGGAGTTAAAGGGCTTTACAGCAAAGAATGTGCAAAAAAATCTTTAATGCTACATAGATATTTAATTTCTGTAGGAAATTATTTAGCTGAAAATTATTAAACATTTTTTTTGTTTTTCCTTGCAGCTTTTTTTTTTTAAATCAAGGTTAAATGGATGAGGGATACATCTGAGCTATTTCACCTCTCCATTAGATTGTCTTTACCCTGGTTTTGGAATTGAAGGTAACATAATTTCAAAAAGAACAAAAGAAAAAAATGTTATGTCTTTGTATATGTTTTCAGAATAATTCTGCTTATTTCCAACTTGGCTTCAATATATTTATTGTTAACTAACTGGATATATGAACATAAACTCACACATTCAAATTAATTTAGTGCAGGCATCCCCAAACTCGGTCCTCAAGGCCCCCTGTCCTGCAGGTTTTAGAGGTTTCCTTGCTTCAGCACAGCTGATTTTAATTGACAGCTGATTAACAGGCTTTTGGTCTACTGCAATCATTATAACCAGCTGTGCTGAAGCAGAGAAACCTCTAAAACCTGCAGGACAGGGGGCCTTGAGGACCAAGTTTGGGGATGCCTGATTTAGTGTGTCACTACTAAGTTTAACTTAATACTATAACAATACATACAGGTGGAATTTAGATTCCAAAGGAAGAAAATGAAATCATTGAGCCAATGATTTCATATATATATATATATATATATAAATATAAAACAATATGCTGGACTTTTTATAGGATCATAATGTCAATAAAAACAATTTGTCATAAAATGTTTTCATAAAAGGCTTTTTTTATGGTACACAAAAGTTCATCACAGAAAAATCTTTCGATTAAAAAGAAAAAAGAATCATTACAACCACCATGCATCTGACTGCAATAGCCAAATGTTTTTTTTTTGTTTTCAACAGATAGTTTTCAGCTTTGCCACACTCACTCCCGTGTGTCGGTGTACAGTATAGAACATGTATATAGCGTTGAGAGCATAAGTATTTATTGAAAGTCTAATGGCAGTCTGTGCAGTTAGCTGCTGCAGGTACATCATAGAAACTAAAT